CGCCCATGGCTAAGCCCAGCCCAAGCCAGGAGGAGCGGAGGGCGCCTAGCTCCGGCCAGACTGGAGCGGCTGGCGCCTGGATGTGGACCCAGCGGCGGGGAGACCCAAAGCGACTTTCGGTCCCCAAGGCGCCCGCCCGATCCCTACAATGAAGAGGGCGTCTGCTGGAGGTTAGTGTCCGTGGTGGGGGCCTGGGCTGGCAGTCAGGCCCTTGGATGGGGAAACAGGCAGGTTAGTGGGAGCCTAGAAGAGGCGGATGGGGCAGGTGGAGCCATAGAGATTCCTGGTAGGACCCTGCCTGTGTGCACCCAGAACTGGGAGCCACGGAGGGGAGCATGGTGTCCTGGAAGGGGCTGGCATGGGATGTCCAGGCTTGGCATCTGTCCCTTGGCCAGCATTGACCTAGGCCAGGTGGGCGTCTGCCCCCAGGAGCACTATGTACCGGGATGCCTGGAATTCCACCTTACAGAGTGGAATTAGTCACTCTGTAAGGCCTATGGGAAGACTTTGGAAGCTTTGAGACCTGCTTGAGAAAGCACATTTCTCTTCCTTGGGTTGCATGAGTGCTCTGTGGTCACTGGAATGGTGGGCAGCGCAGGGCGGTCTGTGCAGTGATCAGGAACGCTGAACAGCCCCAGGGTGCCATCCCTCCTTCTGGGCCACCCTGAGAGGCAGCCCTGTGGCTGGACCCCATGCACCTAGACCAGCCCCATCCCTAGGGATCTCTCCCCTCAAGACTGATGTTCTTCCTGCAGAGAGTCACATGGTGGAGCAGTAAGTCTGGGCCTCCTTGGCCAAGGGTCTGAGTCTGCAGGCATGCAGGGGCCGCGCCTCGCAAGAGGAGGCAGCTCTGCTTGGAGATGAGGGCTCTGGGTACATCATGTTTCTGGGACTCCTGGGTCCAGGGGGGATCTTGGGTCTGGTTGGCCAAGTCCATTGAGCCCACATTTGCCCTGATCCCTTTCTGGCTTTGTGGTTCCTGAGGCTCTTGTCCCTAGCCCAAGCCCATGCCCATGTGCCCATCACAGAGGCTAGACGAGGCTCATCCTCCCTGTGGCTGCCCTGAGTGGTGGGCCCCTGGGGCTGTGTGGCTCAAAGGGCGGAGCCCTGGGTGTCTGCAGTAGCCAGCTGTGGCCTCCCTCCTGCTGCAGAGCCCCTGCCCCTCAGCCATGGATGCTCAGGGACAGGGCCATGGGTCACTGTGTGGCTCTTATGGCTCCTTGAGGCCCAGTTCCTGAGGCCACGGTGCCAGGTGTGGCCCCCGTGGGTGCTGACTGGCGGCTGTGGGCAGGGTGGCAGGTGGGCAGTGGTGAGAATGCCTTCTCCTTACAGGTTCCAGGCCCTGATTTCCTGACCCTGGGGGACGACAACATCCGTAGCCTGAACTTTGTGTCTGAGCGGAGCCTGGACCTCCCTGACTATGGGCCCAGGGACCTGCACACAGCCTACCAGCCATCCCCGTCATTCAGCACCTCTGATGCCTTCTCAGCACTTTGTGCTCCCTGAGCCTCAAGGCCTCAAGCTGGCGGGGTGGGGACCACGTCGCTCTGCAGCCCCTGCGCTCCAAGGGTGGACCCCCCCCATGCCCCACTGTAGCATCTTTGCCCCCATGCACTGCCCAACGGCAACAGCAGCCTGTCCTATGATAGCGTGCTCAACCCTGACCCACCTGGTGGCCATGCCTGCCCCGCCCATCCAGCAGTTGGCATGGCCAGATACCACTGACCCTACCTGCACCCTAGGGCAACAGGTGACCCACCACGGCCCCTGCCCCGCAGCTTCAGCCCCATGCTGGGCCGCCGGCCCCCGGAGCCCTCACCTGTGCACTACAACAACCTGTCCAGGGCCATCATGGCATCCATCCAGGAGCACAAGGACAGGGAGGAGCATGAGTGCCTGCTGCGCTCCCAGGCCAACTCACTCTTCGGCGACTTGGGCGTCTATGACGCGCCCAGCTTCTACACCCTGCAGCAGGCCAGTGTGCCGTGCCAGGGCCCCCGAGGTTCCGCGCTGCGTTACAGCTCCAGAGAGGACCCTGTGGCTGGGCCTGGCTTCGGCGGTGCCCGCAACCCTGCCCTGCAGACATCACTGTCCTTGCTGTCCAGCTCCGTGAGCCGTGCACCTCGAATGTCGTCCTCCCTGCAGGCTGATAAGGCCAGCAGCCATGCCCTGGGGCCCCGGTTCAGCAGTGACTCACACAGGTCAGTCACACTCCAGGGCCTGCCCTCCCTGACAGGCACTCCTGACTCACCGTCCTACGTGGGCCCCAGAGCTGTCGCTTTCATCCACATGGACCTCCCAGAGCCACCGCCCTCACTGGCTGTGCAGAGGTGGGTGCCGGGAGGTGCGGGTGGGCTTCCTGGCACAGGGCAGCTGTCCAGCCATCTGCAGGGCCCCTCTTGGCTGGGCACTCATAGGTCATCCCAGGGGCCTGAGTTTTTCTCTGGGGATGGGACAGGGAGGATGTGCCTCACCCTGCCTTGAAGGCCCTGGCTAGCCCACGTGGCCCAGCTCTGAGGATGTCCTGGGCACTCTCTGGGGACAGGGTATGAGAATTTGTGTCCTCATCCCAACAACTTGTTCCCCCAGAGCTGGCGTAGACCCAGCATGTGGGAGGCCGTGGGGCTTTCTCCTTGGGGCCGGTGTCATGCGGCAACCTGGGTCTCCTTTAGGCTGTGGCTCTGGCTTCCTGGGTCACAGTGGCCCTGTCCACCCAGGGCTCTCCCTGGGTCTGCTTTGCTGCATCTCTTGGAGGCTGGGGCTGAGGACATTACCTAGCCACAGAATGTGCCACCCTGGGTGGCCAGGCCCTGGCCCTCCCTGTGGGACATAGTTCTAGGAAGCAGGGACTTCCCTGCTCGTAGGTGGGGAAACTGAGGACTGGAGAAAGCAGGTGTGCTCCAGGCACCCAGTAGGTTGGTAACTGAGAAAGCAGGGTCAGCTGGCTCGCAGGCCCAGGCCCAGGTAGGAGAACTGCACACCTGCTGGGGCCAGGACCCAGGCCGTGGTGCATGGTGTCCTCATGGCGTCTGTCGCCCGGTCCAGGCCTGGAAACCTCAAGCACAGGCTCAGATGTTTCCCGTTGTCAGATGCAGCCCCAGGGGGAGAGCCCAGCCCAGCCCAG